AAAGATGCAAAAAATGACAGACTGTGGTTTAAAACTAACACAAAGGTATACACAGCTTCTCCACTGATTTTTCTGATGTCCAACCATTATTTCCTAGTAAAACCGATGCAAATAAATGCTCTTTCTCTGTCCTTCCCCTGTAGTTGGGGAAACTGTACTTGGAGAGAGAAGAGTATGGAAAACTGCAAAAGATCCTAAGGCAACTGCACCAGTCATGTCAGGTATAAGATGCATTTTGTATCCTTGTTTGTCAGTATAATGCAATAATAATTTTCCTAGGTTCAAATAAAATTAGGTTTAACCTGGCAGACGTCATAAAATATGTTGTGGCTACTGTTTTAATTGCTTGCTTATTTATTCCTGTATTATCAGTAAATAATATATATTTTCCAGGCAAGTGTAAAGCATGTGGAGATTTGACTCGGATTATGAGCTTTATAAGAGATTAATTCATATGTTTGTCTTCTACAGACCGATGATGGGGAGGACGACCTGAAGAAAGGCACACAGCTGTTGGAAATTTACGCACTGGAGATCCAGATGTACACAGCACAAAAAAACAACAAGAAATTGAAAGCCCTGTATGAGCAGTCACTTCACATTAAATCTGCCATTCCTCACCCGCTCATAATGGGAGTCATCAGAGGTATCTTCCTTATTCATAGCACAGTTGTTTAACTTTGTTCAGTGCTATCTTTACTGTCTGCTGATTGGCTTGTCCTTGTTTGCTCCTGACCAGAATGTGGTGGTAAGATGCATTTGAGAGAGGGTGAGTTTGAGAAAGCTCACACAGACTTCTTTGAGGCCTTTAAAAACTACGATGAGTCCGGCAGCCCAAGAAGGACGACATGCCTGAAGTACCTGGTCCTCGCCAACATGCTGATGAAATCAGGAATAAACCCTTTTGACTCACAAGAGGTATACAATTATTTCTTAATGATCAACAACTATGCATATACTGTAAAATTATGAAATATAAGAGACAAACTACTCTAGAAAGACTCTGTGCCACATACGTTTTTGAGTTTGCAGTTGAAGTAAAAGAAAAACAGCACATCTAAAAAGCATCTAATCAGAAGAAATGCTGAAATTATTTTTGGTGTTTTCTGCCTAATTAGTTATCTCTCAAGTGAAATTGCCATACCTAACTTTTTGTATTTTTGTCCAAAGGCCAAACCATACAAAAATGACCCGGAGATCCTAGCAATGACGAACTTAGTAAGGTAAGCATACATTAATGCATTCAAGGATCAGCTCTTCGTCCTTTTATTTACAATAAAAGCCTTGCAATTATATTATAGGCTTTTATTTCTACCAGTTGTAACATTATAGTCACCAATTTTATTTTGAAATCTGTTTGGTGCGGCTACAGCTTCACTAAGCTGCAAAATATGGCTAAAAATGAATAGTGACACTGTGTTGGAATTGACGTTTGTTTAACCCAGTGTTTCTCAAACTTTTTCCTACCAAGGACCACTTAACCAATAAAAAAACACTCGCGGACCACCTAACTCCACAAATATCCAAAATCACATCGTTTTTCTAGAACAAATTACAAATCGCCTGAAAATGGTACAAACAAGTGCCAACATATGTGATGAAGGTGTTGCACTGGGCTATATCATGCAATTGAGAGTGAAACTTAAGCTCGCTCCATTGCGGAGATATTTCTGCAAAACTCAAATGTATTTATTTATTTCAAATGTGAAATGTTACCAATATACTCACGGACCACTAGGGGGTGCTCACGGACCAACAGTGGTCCGCAGACCACTATTTGAGAAGCACTGGTTTAACCTGACAGTCTTATCTATGTGTAAGCGAGAATGAAAGTGAATGCATCTAAACATGTTATTAACAGATCTTCTCTGTAAAGACTTAAGTAATAATTATGTGCGAACCACTTTGTTCGCATTCAGTTGTAAATGATGCATGTTCCTGTATGAATGCCTCTTCATACAACATGCTTGTTGAAAATGTTACTGTTGGTGGCCAAAACTATGAAAATAGACCCAAAATTCCAGTAAAGTTTTCCACATTGTTGTGAATGTATTCTTATCTACTGGAGGCAGACGTTTTTACTGTTTGACCTTTGGTCATATTTCAGTTTGTCATTCCTTATGGCCCAGTTTCATACTAGCTGTTACAGTTTGGTGCAGATGCAGTTTGTAAACATGTTTCAATGGATCACTTATTTCATTTACTCTTAGTCACGAATATAAAATTGACAGCATTAATGGTACTAATATAGTTTATAACTTGCCAAACAGTGCTTGGTCGGTGCTAACAATGGTGTGTATTTCACAGTGTTTGTATAAAGAAATTAACATTGCTATTGTCTTTCCAAGCCCTTGGTTGTCTTCTGCTTCCTTGTTTGCTCTCCTTTGTTCTCATGTTGCATACATAACGGTCTGTTATTATAACTAACTGGTCTGAGATTGCTCCCTTTCCAAGTATATATCTAAGATTTTTAATACATAAACAAGAAACCAATAAAGCACACCCAAAACTGTTGTAAGAATAGTGTTTGCAAAAATTATAATATTTAGAAATGTTTGACAGCTATCAGGATGAGAGTTTTTGCGTGGGTCACAGAGACACAATGTACATAGTTTAACAACACTCACTGTTTTTTCATTCCAGCTCCTACCAGAACAATGACATCACTGAATTTGAGAAAATCTTGAAAACAAATCACAGTAACATAATGGACGACCCCTTCATTAGAGAGCACATAGAGGGTGAGTGGTGAATGTGACTTCAGTCCACATGCGGGATAAATCTGTTGAATATTTTGTTTTCAAGCGTAGCTAATAACTCATGTTGTGTTGCAGAGCTCCTGAGAAACATTAGAACTCAAGTACTTATCAAACTCATCAAACCGTACACGAGAATACACATCCCTTTCATTTCTAAGGTAAGTCCATGTGTTTAAAACATGTCCTGTACAGTGAATGTATCTGATATATTTAGAATATTATTAGAAAATAATTTGCACTGATTGCCATGTGACTTTGTCTTGATATGTTTAGCATGTATTGAAGCCAATCAGTCATACGATTGAAGAGAAAGGTTTACTTGGAGAAAGCACACGTTTTAAAGCAGAAGCTAATGTCGCATAATTTGCTGTGGCTTTGCAGCTAGCAACCTTTTAGTTGCGGCAGTGCTATTCACATTCCTGAAATGGCAGAAAATGTAAATTGGTTTCCGAAATTATCATAAAAAATACATAATGAAATCCACACATGAAAAAGCAACACTTGTATACTTAAAATAAATATACCTACATTATACAAGTCTGTACTTTGTCATTTAAATGGCTCCTTGTTTTGTGACTTTAGTCTTCTTCTAAAGTTATTGTTGAATAACTTTATAGTTTCATAAAACATAGTTCAGGGTGTTCATTCATCCTTGTAAGAAGATTACACCATATGTCAAACCCTTTTTTACGAATTAGTTCACATACTTACATATACCTTTGAAACACATCTGACACAATATTTACAACAATAGCTGTGTGTTTAATCCTCTATTGTGAAATGGTGACTTGTTTTACGTTTGTGCTGATAAGTCTTGTCCTCTTCTCTTGATTTCCAGGAGCTGAACATTGATGTGTGCGATGTGGAGAGTTTGCTGGTGCAGTGCATCTTGGATAAGTACGTTTCTGTATCACGTGGATGCTGAGAAGTCGAATAGAAAATAGCTCTCTTCCTGTAAATAGTTCCTCATAGTTTGCCTCCTTTGGCCCTTAAGAGTGTCAGGAGGTAGGAATTGACAGATTCAGTTACATCGTATTGTTATTGTGATCTGCTATTTACAGCCTCACATCCCCGCTGAACTGGTTCTCTGAAGTAAATCAAAAAAACAGATTGATCTGATAAACTCCACACTGTTGAGTACTTTTTCATTGTTGCCATCATCATCTTGAATGTTAAATGAATGGCACTCATGTTAAAACAATAAATAAATCGTGAAAAGTATTTTCTTTAAATATAGGGTTACACAGTACCATGCGTTCTCAATAAATCATGCAAAATGGTATTGTTTTTATTTGCTGTCTTTATCTGAAAAATGAAAAGCCAGAACAAATATACAATTGTAAATATGAGTAGGCTAAAAACTGTGGCTTAGTATTTCAAGACTCAATTATCAGAGCTCAACTAAAATGTGTGGGAAATTAGTTCTAGAGATATTACAACATGTGTAGTTCTTATGCTTACTTCTGTTTTTTCCCTTTTTCTTTTTCACAGCACAATCCACGGCCGAATTGACCAAGTCAACCAGCTACTAGAACTGGACTACCAGAAGAGAGGAGGGGCTCGCTACACAGCTTTAGATAAATGGACAAATCAGCTGAACTCTCTCAACCAAGCCATTGTCAGCAAGCTCACATGATGGCATGTAAAATTAAGAGACAAGAAAAATGGCATGTTTGAATACATCCATAAAGTATGCTACTGTGCTTCTTCAAGTAAATCCTCTTGAGACGAGATACACAGCACAGGTTTTGAGAATGCCACCAATTTCAAGGAGACTCCAGGAACCACAAGAACGTGTTCAAAGTGTGTTGTTTTGTGGCGATGCGCCAAAATCACCAACACTTATTTGTGTTTTTCATGTTCCTGATTGGCAGATTCTTCCATGTGCAACACACAAATGCTTCAGTTGTTTAAAAAAAGTCCAAATGTGTATGAAAACGTGTACACAGTATTTTAATGTATACTGTTGCCTGTTGGTAATAAACAGATTTCTCTCAGCACTAAAAGGATTCAGCTGCCTTTGACTAGCTAACGTTTTAACTCTGTGACCGGCGAGTTGGAGTCAAATAAAATGTTTTTAACTGTCACTAATGAGACATATTTTTTTTCCACACATTTTGAATCACTCTTCGAAAGTATTTTTCTATGCATACTCCTGACATGTTGATCTGCCAGTAAAAGCTTTTTGAGCCTCGACGGCTTCCACTCCAGATGACTCCCATTTCCACAGTGACACCAGCCGTTAGCTCGCTCGCACCAGAGCTAGCAGCTAGTCGGTGGAGAGACAGCCAGCTGACGCAGCAGCAGCAGCTAGCGGTCCTTAGGAACTGGGTGTGAGCCTTCAGTGATACTTATTATTATTCACAATGAAGAAATTAAAAGAGCCCACATCCTGACGTCTACATTTTGGCCAATGACCGTATGTCGCGGTGTCGTTGACTGACATGGACGCTAGTGACAACAAGGTACAGTTTATTCTGAAATGATCAGTGTTTTTGTATGGAGCTGTAGCCTGTGGAAGAAGAAGGAGCATAACGCTAGTTTACGCTGTCGAGGCCCAGCATCGCACTGTTAACGTCATCATTAAAAACATAAGCCGCTATTACCTTATTGTAATTATTACCAGTTGAGAGGTTTAAATCGGATATTTGTGTCTGTAACCATACAAACGGCACACTATGTTTCGGTGCTTTTCACGAGGCAGCATTGCAAACAGTTATCCAGTTTGGCTAGCAAGCTAAGACAGCTAACGGTGACCGCAGTTTATTACAAAGCGGATAAAGCATTCCTGTCTTTTGTCACAGTTCATGTATTTTTGGGCCATTTTACAAAATGACATATCTATTTGCATGACAATAATCCCGTATGATAAAACCCGAAAGACAGTTTGTGTTTAGCATTTAGCCTGGAGAGCTAGCTAGTCTTTAAGCTAAACATATCAGCTGTCATTTGACGGAGCTGGTCATGTTAATCGACACGTACAGCTTGCGGTGTTTTTTGTCAAATGTGTGGTTTGGTCCGAATTTGGAGAGGTGACCAAAAGGTTTCACCTGAGTGACTGTCAGGAATGTGTGCACGATGAGAGCTTTGTTATTGTCAGAAGAGGCGGAGAGGTTTCGTGCATCGTGAGTAGAGGAATATCTGGTTCTGCTGCATGCATAGCATTCTTCTGACGATGTTTGCAATGGAGAGAGTTCGGTTTTGTCGCTGTTTGGTTGTTTATTGTCCCAACGAGTATTGACAATACCTGAGATTACACTCCTTTACCTGGTACATCTCATGATGCAGTTTTCTGACACTATAGGGGCTCCTAAACTCATGTGAGATTGAATGCATCTGAAAATGTGTATTCAAGTTGCTAATCATCAGTTCTGGTCTCACAAACAGACACCTTTTTAAAAAATTCTGGAAACTCCTCTCAGCCACAGGAATGAAGTTTAGATCTGTATTTACTTGCACATCTCACAACATTCTCTTGCACTATTTTATTTCTATTTTTTATTTGTATTGGTTTAATTTGTTTTATGTCATATATATATATATATATATAACACCCCTTTAAAAGTTGTATGCATATGCAATGCTTTAGTTTCTAAACACAACCATCCGGCTCTCAGTACAGAAACAGAAACTGTCTGTTGGTGTTTGAAAGCAACTGGTGTGAGAATAAGTGCTTACACAAACAGAGGCTTGTGAGATTAGAAGCTCCCACTCTAATCACTCTGAAATCTCTCATCCCCAATGAATGCACATCTGGGTCTGACCTCATAGCCTGTTCCACAATCACATCTATTCTCACTAACACAGAGATACTACAAAGACACACTTGGGTCTCAAGAGATGGATCTGCTGGCCAGCTCTGTTTTACCTCAAAATGTACACAGATTCTTTCTGTATATGGTAATTAGCTTATCCTACCTTATCCTCTCAAACGTAATCCTATAATAACACCCTATCAGCTATACTGTACCATCGCACAAGTTCAGACAAACTACTGTAGTACTAAACCCTTCCAGACATATTTGTCTGGGCATGGAAGCTGTAACTACCTGGAGGTTTGTAAATATCTTTCCTCAAGACTATAGGTTGATTTTCTTCACCACGCACCATTTACAATGATTTTATTTAGTTCGGATGTTATCTATAGATTATTTAAGTCAAGTGAGGGCACCACCCACGGACAGTAGCCTGGGAGACAATAGCTGTCTGTGTGACATCCACTGGCTACACTGATGACTATTCATGCATCCCGACCACTGTTTCAGAGAAGTGTGGATGCCTTTGTCCTCTGAACCCTGTCACCTCTCCTCATCCTTTGCAAAAAATAGCAGATTATTTTAATGAGACCTCTTCAGCAGAGCTGCCACCTCGGGTCAAGCCGATGCCTCCATGATGTTAAGTTAGGAGGAGTCCGAGGTGTGAAAGATGCTCCCAGACAGCAGTGAATAACACAGCTGCCCTTCCTGTACTTAAATAAGTGGGAAAATGTTGTTTTTAGTTGGCAATTTTAAAGGCATTTTAACAATAATTAAATAACATAATAATCCAGTTTATTCATGTAGTTTATCAAAAGCAACGTTAAAAAGTGCTTCACCACAAACACTTTAATCAAAACAATAGATTACACTTAAGTATTTGCCCTACCGGGAGAGCAAAAGCATTAGATAAATAAACATAAAACATTTAATGATGACACTTTTCTTTATTCTATATGTCAAGAACAATTCGCAGTCTAAATCAACTTTTACGATTAAACATTGACTTCAAAATGGAACAAAGAAGGCATTTGATATCTCTTCAAAGTGATTTTAAAAGAAGCAAAATGGAGTTCCTCAGGCACATGCTCAGTCCCCTTTTACTGTTCACAGTGTTTGTGTTTTTAAGAAGGACTCTTACTTGTTACTTGGTTTGACAAGCGTCAAAGGAAATGGAAGCTATTACATTTATTCTGACATTAAAAAACGTAATATTATATTTATTTATATTTAAGTTCAAAGTTATTTATTTGTCATAAAGAGGAACGTTCAATATATAAAAATCATTTTAAAATTCACAATAATTAACACTATGACTTTAAAATAAGGTTTGTAATAAAATCTAGGATACTCTGTTGAATTGTACATCTAATATTCAGTTTTATACATGAAAACAATGGCCTGCTTTCGGATAGATTATCTATTTATGACTAAGCATTATTTTTCGCAGCTGTGTTTCTCTCTTTTTAGAAAAAATGTCTTTGGTGGCTAATTAAGATTTGAAGTACTTTAGTGTTTCCGTCCCAAGCCTGCCTTGGAGTGCCCGGCCCTCTAATCTTCAGCCTTTCTGGAGCCCGCTGTACCACTTCTACTGCACGGCTGCTGTTGGGCCATAAATCCAGAGAGCCATAAAACCAGAAGAAGTGACTTGGAGAGGACATTCTTGTGGCTTCGCCTGTCACAAATGTCCCACTTTTAAAACAAATGTGCCTTATTGATTTATTCCTAAAGCTTTTAGTTTTATGTTTGTTTCCAGAACTTGGATGTTTTTTTGTTTTTTTTTAATTGTTCTCATACGTTTAGAACTGTTTAGTTATTTGTATGTTACTCATAATCTGGCAGCTGTCCCTGGGACGTCTCAATGCATACTATCAACTTGGGTGTGTTTTGAATATATTTAGCCATACATGGCAGCCTTTAAAAAAAAAGAAGTTATTTTCGGCTTTGAGCTAAAGAGACTTACCTAATTTGACCATATTAACAAGAAGCTGCTCATTGTTTATATCCTTCACCACTGTTTATCTAGCTGCAGATGTCTTAGTCACTTGAGAAATTGACTGTCAAAAATAGCTGGAGCCCTTTTTGATATGTTGTGTACATTGCAGTTGTACCACGTCACGTCTTTAACCTTTTAAAGGTTTTTATCTCTGATACGTTTTTATTGATGATGGTACACACTTAAGACTGTAAACCAACTGGAACCGTATGAGGAGTCAGTGCTTAGCTGGGATGAACACTAACCAAATGAAAGATTGTTTAGTAAACCATCTACAACCCTCTCTGTCAAACTTTCTCAAGTTAATAACCTTTAAATGCCTTGGTATAGATCTTTCTCTTTTTGTTTGCAGGATTGGTCCTATTCTTGTAAATGTAATGTCTTAGCAAGATGACTTAACAAACTACACAAACCTACCCTTACAATAAAGCAAATAGTTGGATAAATGTTGTTGAATTTCCATTACTATGTTGATTCCACTCTAAAACGATCACTTTCCATCCAATGGAATTACAAATAATGAAATAAATAGATCCCCAGTACCGTGTCAATACAGAGAATGTGCTGCTGACTGACTTGGGCAATCTTGTTTGACAGATATCTCTGCTTTTTGGAGTAAACCTAACTTCTCAGTCAATGAACCATGTAGTCATTAATGAGTAACAACTGTTTTTTTGTGTCATGGGTGCAGGATGTGAAGCTTTCAGCCGAAGTGGAACCGTTCATCCCACAGAAGAAAGATCTTGAAGGATCCCTTGCCAGAATGAGTCTTTCTGGAGAGGCAGGTGGAGGAGGAGGAGGAGGAGGAGGAGGGGGCGGAGGTTTAGGAGGAAATGGAGGAGGCGTGGAAACCACTCCCATACCCAGCTACCTCATCACCTGCTACCCTTTCGTCCAGGAAAATCAACCCAACAGGTATTGTCTCAATTTCATAAGGGCGTTTTAGTAATGGGAGATATTTTGAAGCATTCATTTGAACCCATTAAACTCTGATTTAAACGGCTCCTGTGGTTCTCGTCTATGATAGTTATGTATTTTGCAGATGCTTTGGCTAAAGTGTAGCCATTCCATGTGGTATTGTGGGACGCCTGGTGTCCCCATTTCAAACTGGAACTTTCTATTTTAAGAAAAACCCATTCCCTGCGCTGCCTTCTACAATAATATTGAAAAGAAGATTTAAACACAGCACGCCTAGTGAGATCACAATCACATCCTTTAAAAAGTGCATTGGGTTAGATCTGTTAGATTGCTCACTATTTTAGGGCAGCTTGATTATGAATGGAAACCTCCAAAGAGTTTACATGGAACCACAATCTATGTTTCCAGTGGCTCTTTCTTTGTCTGGAGTGATCTGCTGTATCCTTGCACACATCCGTTCCTTTGTTTCCTTTCCCTCTATTTGAATGCGAGGAAATGGCCGGTATAGTAGGCTGGCTGTGGAAATGTCATTTGGATCCTTATCAACATTTCTGCATACCGTGAACACACCCCCTAACAATTTGACCATCATGCAAATCACTGCAGCATCAAAAATGTGAACCAGTGGAATGTCAGTCTTACAAAAAGCAACTTTACATTTATATTTAAATCCTTTTTTTAAATATGTAAGTATGACCATTTATGTTTTAATTAGGGATACTTCTTTAAAGGCCATTTTGGATTCAAACCTCTCCTGCACAATGTGCAAACATTTCCTTATTTTACAAAATACATGGATGTGGTGGATGTCCTAAAGACAATACAAACTGAGAATGTTTAAAATACAGGACACAAAGATGAGTGTGTGAGATTCTTAACAATGAATTACAGCTAATCAAGCTAAAATCTCTTCCTTACCAACATAATAGTGCATACTTAAAATTGACGAACAACAAACATTTGACACCTAAAAACCTTAGTATTCATATTTTGTAAAGTGTCTTGCAGTATTAGTATGGGAGTGTCCATGCTAATATAATATGATTCCTCTCTTCCCCTTCACAGGCAACATCCTATGTATAATGGAGGGGAGCTGCGCTGGCAGCAGCCTAACCCCAGCCCCGGAGGGTCATACCTGGCTTACCCCATCATGTCTTCACCCCAGCCTCCTGTCTCCAATGACTACGCTTACTACCAGATTATGCCTGCTCCCTGCCCTCCTGTGATGGGCTTCTACCAGCCCTTCCATGGAACCTATGGTGGTCCTGTGCAAGCTGGAGTGGTCAACCCTGTCTCTGCAGATGTTGCTGAAAGACCACTCTCTCTGGGGCCTGCATACGGGATGGGCAGGGGGAGAGGCATGGCCCGACCGAATGTTATCCCAAAGGTAAAGAAGGTCACCATCCATGTTTTATTGCTGTGACAATGACGCCATTGTATTTGTAATACTAACAAGTGTATCTCTTTATGCACCACCTCTTAATCTTTCTCATACAGCAACAGTTAGGTATGTGCCTGCCTCCAAGAGGTCGCCGGCCTCCGACCAGGAGTGTGGCCGTTCAGAAGGAGGTGTGCACTTTGGGGCCTGATGGGAGGACCAAGACAGTCATGTTGGTGGATGCAGCACAGCAAACCGGTAAGAATACCAAGGCAATAAATAAAGGTGCAGAACATTCCGTTTTATTTTAATAATAAAAAACGGTGCCAACTTTAGATAAAGATCTGTTTATTGTTTGTAGCAGTGGGAATATTCTGAGCCTGAGTTTCGAGCTAAGTGAACGGCCAACGTCAGTGATGTTCTCAGTCATTCAATTAATTCAAAGCGAGGCTTTATTGTCATGTGCACAGTAGCTACAGTGTAGATATGGCAATGCAAAACTTAAGTCCTAGGCTCCTCCAACAATGCAACATGAATATATATATATATATATAGGACAGAAAACAAATTAAACCAATACAAATAGCAATAGAAATAAAATAGTGCAAGAGAATGTTGTGAGAGTAAATACAGATCTAAACTTCATTCCTGTGGCTGAGAGGAGTTAGAGGCTTAAAACATTCCAGACCTTTTTAAAGGTGTCTGTTTGTTTGTGAACAAAGAATTGTTCCAGTCAGAGAGGAAGCACGACACAGTGCCAGTAAGAGAGGTGTCTTATCCTACACTGATGATGCTCATGCTTCACTTATGAAAGAGAGGGAATGCAGAGTTTCCAGTTGGAGAGCTTAAAATGTTTGCAGCTCATGATGTCAACAGTGATGTCTCTGTTCTAATGAACATGTGTCACAAATATGACTTCGCTTGTTTTTAGGTAACACATAAATCATCTCCAATCGTCACCTGTTTACAGCTTGGTCTATATATCCCTATACAAATCTACATCTGATTCGTCCCTTTTTAAATTTGGCTTTATGAATGAATTGATTCATTTCTATTTCTATTCAAATATATATTTGTTCATTTTCTAAGAAAAAAAGTATTAGTATGTATTTTATATCTATTTCACTATTTATATCTAGGATCCATTTCTTACGTTAGTTATTTCCTTCTGTACATATTTAATGAGCTTTGTTGCAGCGAGACGAATGCCAACAACTGCATCTCTGTGATTGTTGTGCACAAGGCAATAGAGAACTTGAAACCTGATCTACTATATTTAAAGTCCTTTTTTTATCTAGTATATTGACGATTATAGCAGTTGTATTCTTTTGTATCAGGTCTAATCTTCTCTGACTGTGTCCTCAGATTTCCAAGGTGAGTTGTCTGGGCGTTGTGCTGCTGAGCAAGCCAGTCCCCTGCTCTGGAAAAACCGAACCAAGAGAAGAAGGGCGTCCCATCCCTCTGAGAGCTACGAGCAGGGAGCCAGCGAGGCAGATATAGACAGCGACAGCGGCTACTGCAGCCCCAAACACAACCAGGCTGCCGGGGTAACACAGCGAACAGCAGAGAGCTCAGCAGCTCCAGCAGTAAGTTGGCTACTTACCATCGGTAACAGGGTAACAGACACACTCTAGAAACGGTTTAAACTCATAATCCCATAATTGTTTAGCTTGTGGATATCATACAAAAGCATTGACCTGAAACACGTCTAGAGCAGCGGTTCCCAACCTGGGAATTATTGGGGGGGCGTCAAAGATCGCAGGGGGGGCGCCAGGCCTCAGATGATTTGAGGCCAAATATCATATTTTTTACATATAATTGTAACGCAATACATGATTGTCACTAAAAGCCTTGTCTCTACATTACAATAAAAAATAATTGATTAATTCATTTGAATACAAATTCAAGTTAGTAGCTAATAAAGGCATAAAAAGACAGAAATGTATAATTTCTTTCTTTAATATAAATGTTTCTTCTGCCCGTTAAGTGTCCAAACCAGGCTTGTGTGGATAAGCGCATTTTTAAAACATAGTCAATGTCCATGCCGGTTTCAGTTGGATTATTTGTCACAGTTGCTCCGATCAGATCGGTCTCCTCCATTTTGTAGATTATTTACGACTTTTGAATCCACATAAACACATCGGCAAAATCCGGCTTACTTTGAGCATGTGTTTTAAACAGTTTAATCCCTTTGTGAATTGTTTCCACTTGCGGCATCGCTTTGTGAAGTTGGGGGGGGGGGGGGGCGGGCGGGCGCCGCCGCAACAACTTCCAACTGGAGTCATTTGGGGGGGCTTTTGGGGAAAAAAGGTTGGGAACCACTGGTCTAGAGTATATCTTTAAAGGGCTACTTACTATTAGAGTCATGGCAGTTTTTAAAGGTAATTCTGTCTGGGAGCCCTGTAAACAAACAGCATATAGCTTCAATAAAAATGGTATCTTCAAAAGAAACAAAGGTCAGAGATTTGAGAGATAACATGTCACCACATAAATACTCCTCTTGTGTCACAGCACTGTACAGGGCAAATACCAATCAGGGAAATGTAATACAATAATGTAATGACTTCTCTCTGTGTTATTACAACATTTCACATACTCATGATTTCTCAATTTGTCTTCTTTTCCTCTACCTTCTCCACATGTCTGTGTTGTATAGGGAGTGGAGGCTGGTGTAATGAAAGGCAAGTTTGACAACACAAAGTGTATTTCCCTTCCTTCCCCCGCCATGTTCACACAAGGCTTTGACATAATATATTACAAATGAATGGAGATAATAATTCCTAATCATTGTTTTCATTCATTAGCAGGTACATGGGTTAATGCAGCCTCTCAGGCTACCCAGAAGTCCTGGGGAGACAGGAACGGACACTTTCACAGAGCAGACCAGAGGAAACATCCTGAACAGAGAAACTTCTCACAGGTACATGTGTATATGTACAGTATGTCAGAAGAACAACTGTGGTATTTTGAGAAGGGTTGAAATGCAATCATTTTGGTCCTAAGTGGCAGTGAAACTTACTGAGCAGCAGATTAGAAATGAATGTACAGTGACTCTCTATTCCAATTGTCTGTTGCCCACGTGTTCATAATGGTCTTAGTTTTTATGATTGCAATTGAAGATATAATTTATCTTGATTTGTGCTACTGGACATCCAATTACATAACTTTTAGATGTGAGTAGAGGGCTGAATCTAAACACATCTCGCACGTAATTATATCTGTACTGTCCATCACACATACTAGTGTAAAAAGTATTATTATTAGTATTAAAAGTCTCTCCAGAGTCTGTCGTGATGCAGAGCCACTCACACTGTCTGTAGGAATTGGCCTGCAAACTGTGCTCTGCTCTCTCTTTTACCAACACGTTTTCTTCACTTGACACAGGATAATAAACACATGAAACACCAGTGATACCCTTTTTAACTCCTGTGTTATCTCCTCTCTGACTTTTTCAGGATTTCCACAGTGGTTATCAAGGGCGTTTGCCTCTGAACCAATCAGAACACAGGATGCAGCCAGCAGCTGTTACAGAGCTCACACCAGAGCCCCTCTACTTTGAGGTGAGCATTAACACAGTTTAATATAGATTTATTTTAGGCTTTTTTGATTGTTTTGCTCAAATGTAATCTACATGTTTGTCAGGATGAAGATGAGTTCCCAGATCTGGCTACTGCAGGGGCGGCTCAACGCAGCAGCAAACCAGAGTCTGCTGCAGCGCAGACACACATGCATCCTAAGCTGCACAAAAACCTGGTGAGGGAAAGCTTTCTGTAGGCCTCTGTCAATATCTGCCTCTCAGATGGTAGATTGCTATAATAGAGAGTATTGTAATTTATTGTATATATTTGATAGTGTGTGGATACTCTAAATATATGTATTTTCTACTGAGAATATGTATATTTAGTTTTCTTATTGTTTATTTTTATTGTGTTTATATTATATTATATTTTTAAGACATTTTGTGATTCTTGTACATTGACTGTTAATATGCTGCTGTAACAAAACTATTCCCCAACTTGGGATAAATAATAATTGTATACATAATAAGATACACATTTATACGGTATAAATATATAATGTTTTAAAGTTATTCAATGAAGAAGAAGATAACAATACAAATAGATTTAGCTGCGCATAGGATTTGATGTTTTACTTTTTTTATTGCCTGACATAAATCAATTGTTATTAACTCTCAGTTTATATGAAACTCTCATTTGGAAATACCCAGAAAGTAGTAAACATGACCAGTGATATAGAAAGTCTGCTGGGTATTGTTCATCTCTGCTCTGGGTCTGTTTCATCCCTCTCAATTTGGTATTAGTAATAATTCAGTTTGGGAGCATGTCCCTGTAAACAAACAACACATAGCTTCAATAAAAATGTTATCTTTAAAAGTAAAATGGTATCTTCAAACGTAACTTTAGCTGCATTACCAAAATACATTGGGAATCCGGCCAAATGTCTCGACTGTTATCTGTTCATCTTTATCAACATATTAAAAACGGTTTATGTTTTTACATGCATCACAGCTGGATAACCTGCCAGAAAACTCCCCTATCAGCATTGTGCAGACCCCCATCCCGATCACCACCTCTGTTCCTAAGAGGGCCAAAAGCCAGAGGAAGAAGGCTCTGGCTGCTGCCTTGGCCACTGCACAGGAGTACTCTGAAATCAGCATGGAACAGAAGAAACTGCAGGTATCAACACGCACTTTGTCCTCTGGGCATGTAGGCCGGGTTTAGACTGAAAAGCTTTAATGTTCTGGCTTATCGCTGGGTTTCTATTTCTTCTCTCTATTTCTGGCTTGTGATTACCATTCTGATCTTTAGTTGTGGTTAACTGTTTCAATGGAGTGACCTTGTTGTGCCTTTTATTTTCTTGCCCTGCAGGAGAAATTCACTAAAGCAGCAGGGAAGAAGAGTAAAACCTCTGTGGAGCTGGACCTGGGAGACATGCTGGCAGCTTTGGAGAAACACCAGCAGGCTATGAAGGCCAGACAGCTCAACAACACCAAGCCATTGTCTTTTACAGGTACTCATGAACTGAATCAAGTGGTATAAGGGAATTAACAAACATATGACAATATAACAGCCCTGCCATACATTACAATATTGGGATAAAAGCTTAATGAGTTGGTTCATTTCCATAGAGTACAATTTTGTATATCTAACATTTGTTGATGGTGAATTGTTCTTTATTGTTTTTTTTTAAATCCTCTTGTCCCACTGCGTAATGTTTGTGTATTTAGCTAATACTGCATATATTCTGACATTTTTGTACCTTTTTGCAAATGTTCTTTCACTCCAATGAAAACATGTTTAAAAAAAAAAATATGTGCACATATTACAATACGAAATGAGTTTTTTCACATCTAGCATGTAAACTAATGTTGTGGTCCTTCTCTCCAGTTGGAACAACCACTCCATTCCACAGTTCAGGCTCCACCAACATGCCGTCCATGTTGAAGGTCCATCAGCAGACGTACACAGCCCCACACAACTCCCTGGACTCTACCGCGCCCCGTATGAAGAGGGGAAAGGAGAGGGAGGTCCCCAAAGTTAAACGACCAACAGCCCTGAAAAAGGTTAATAATATAAGAGGAATTTATCATTAATGAGTAGTGGAATACATATTTTTTTGTCTTCATGAACATTTGTAAAATGAATAGAGATTTCTGAACCTGCAAATCTTTTGTGTGCCCTTCTTTTTGACATTTGTGTTGTGCCTTCTGATAGATTATCTTAAAGGAACGTGAAGGGAAAAAAGGGAAACAGAGTGTAGAGCAAGAGACTTCAGGCCACGAGGAGCAGGGGGATGAGTCTCTACATTTTACTGATGACATTGCACGAGAGCCCGCCTCCCAAGAAGGTGAGTTATTTATCATCAAGACGTGAAAGCTATCCAGTTTCATATTTTTTCATCCCTGATACAATTGTCTAATTCTTATTTCTGGTGTGTTTTTCTGTTTATCCCACAGAAAATGGTCTCAGTATGCCCAGCGATGCCTCCCTCTCCCCGGCCAGTCAGAACTCTCCTTACAGCATCACCCCGGTGTCCCAGGGGTCTCCGGCCAGCTCCGGCATCGGGAGTCCCATGGCCTCGAACGCCATCACCAAGATCCACAGCCGACGTTTCAGAGAGTAAGAACACACTTTCACCCCATGTTAAGTAAAACAAAGAACATTGAACAGGGCAGGACTTTTGTAGGAATCCCTGGCATCAAATCGTCTCAGAAATGCTCCATGTGGAAGTAAAAAAATGTGAGCAAAGCAAATACTTCTCCCACTCAAAAGCCAGAGCCTTGGCTGTGAAACCATCTGAAAGTTGAAGGCTGTTTTAAGGATGGAGCTGTACAATAAAGACTTGTATAGCACAGACGCCAAGCACATTGTTCTTTCTCAGCAAAAACCGATGCCAGTGGTCACAAACACATCTTTGTCCTCCGTGTCCTCTGCTGTAGGCCTATTGTACGAGCCCACCCTTTCCTAACAGATTTTTACAGACCTCTGTAGCCAAGCTCCTCCTCTCAGCGCTGACCCGCAGGACGCTGGACCCTCAGGCCACACGACGTCGATCTTTCGATAAATATCTCCACAATGCCTCTGAGAGAATGCATAACACCTAATGGATCTGCTTTACTTGGAGAGGCTCATCCAGATTCAGAAAATGGCTCTGATAACAGAAAAAGCCAACAGGAAGAAGTTAAAGACAATTTGAATGAACAGCAGTCAACATTTTGAATCATTTTAAGAAGAACACATGTTGAACAATTAATATTATTCTAAACTAGAGGTAATAGAGGATGCTTGTTTTTGACACCTTCTAATAGCTTGTATTGTTGGACCAACACCCCATAACCAAAAGCTTTTCAGTTAACCTTTGCATCAGATAAAGAAAGGTCGCATATTACTGCAATTAAGAGGCTAAGACCAAATAAAGTTCATGATCCACATTGTGCAGATATTTATTTTTATATTAATTAAATTATCTAATTATAAGCTAATAGTTAAAGTTCCAAAGTTGGACAATCTTTTGCTATTTAGCCTAGTTGCCACTTATTCATTAACCTCAATTATTTTTCCTCCGCAGGTACTGTAACCAGGTGCTGAGTAAGGAGATCGACGAGGGTGTGACGATGCTGCTACAGGAGCTAGTTCGCTTCCAGGAGCGCGTCTACCAGAAGGATCCCACCAAAGCCAAATCCAAACGCCGCCTGGTCATGGGTCTCAGAGAGGTCACCAAGCACATGAAGTTAAATAAGATTAAGTGCGTCATCATCTCTCCCAACTGTGAGAAGATCCAGGCCAAAGGTGAATCATTTTGTTTTACTGTTTCCAGCCTGAGATCTGACCACCACCAGAGCTGTGTTACATTTTTAAAACAGGATTTAAATTATTTTGTATCAATGTATTAAAAGACAGTGTGAAAGGGGTCACATGTGGAGAATTATCACTTTTACAGAGTTTTACATATAGTTTCAGCTAATTGTTTAACTGTCCAGCCCTTTCAGAGTGCTGATAGTGAACCAAACAAGTTGACTGATAAATAAGGTTGCTCCATAAGGGCTAAATATTAAATAAGTGACTATTTGCTGAATAGTTTGCTGTACCAACCTAAAAGTGATGCTGCTTGTTTACGCTGCCCCCAAGTGGGCAAAAACTCAGTTATTGCACCTTTTTAAAAGTTCATGATTTATTGTCAGCTGAGGGTTTAGACTGTACAAACCCAGCTTGGTAGTGTAGATCCCTCATGCTGACTTTAATATTCTCATCATAAAAAACAGCATGTTCCTTGATCAAGTTGTTAGTGTTTATTTTCTGTAGATTTTGCCAATCATTTTCTCAAATTGTGTACATTTGATTGAGTGTCTTTTTGTTCCAGGTGGTTTGGATGAAGCTCTATACAACGTAATTGCCATGGCTCGGGATCAGGAGATCCCGTTTGTGTTTGCCTTGGGCAGAAAAGCTCTCGGACGCTGCGTCAACAAACTAGTGCCTGTCAGTGTGGTTGGGATTTTCAACTATTCAGGAGCTGAGGTAAGTTAATCCCATCCTACCTTTAAGTTATTATAAATTGCTGAAGACCTCTTACTAACTTGGTTAAACTTCCTTCAGGGTCTCTTTAACAGTTTAGTGTCTCTGACCGAAGAGGCAAGGAAAGCCTACAAGGAGATGGTGTCCGCTCTGGAGCAGGAGCAGGCCGAGGAGGCTCTGAAAAATGACAAGAAGGTCCCTCACCACATGGGGCATTCCCGCAACCACTCTGCTGCTTCTGCCATCTCCTTCTGCTCCATTTTCTCTGAGCCCATCTCAGAGGTCAATGAAAAGGAGTATGGTAAGCCCCCTAATTTATTGTGATAGATTTGTGTGTAGTATATGTAATCAGTGGTGAAAGAATTATTCAGATATTTGCTTGATTAAAAAATAGTAATGGAGCATAACCATAGACTGTATATATATATATATAAAGAGCATAACACATACACAAAATAAAATAAAAAGTCCGGCAGTGGGACTTGGACTCTGAGTGGTAGGGTCGCTGGTTCAAGTCCCCGTACAGACTTAAAATATGGAGTGTGGACTGGTACTTTGAGAGGTCCCAGTTCACCTCTCCACGCCCTGCCGTGATGCCCTTGAGCAAGGTACCAGACACCACCACCCCCCCCCCACTCCCATTGCTCCCCGGGCGCTGTACAATAGCTGCCCACTGCTCCTAGTACTAGGATGGGTTAAAAGCAGAGAACACATGTCACTGTGTGTGCTGTGTGCATGAACATGTGTGACCAATAAAGAGGCTTTCATCCTCCAATTCTATCTTTCTATAAATTCCTTCAGAGACCAACTGGAGGAGTATAGTGGAGACTTCCGATGCCCTGGAGCCTATTGAGGCTGCGCCCAGTCGTCCTGTGCCCCTAACAGCCGCACCCAAAGTCAGTGTGAACTCCGGAGCCTCCACCAGCACTGCCCACCCACCCACCACCGCCCCCCAGTCCAGGACCGCACCTTCATCACTGACACAGGGTCCCAGTGAGAGGGACGAGGTGCGAGTGGACGACCGCTTGGAGCTGGCCTCTCAGCAGAGCACAGAGACGGGCTCATTGGACGGGAGCTGCAGGGGCCCCTTGAACTCCTCCATCACCTCCACCACCTCCACCCTGGTCCCCGGAATGTTGGAGGAGGCGGACGAGGAGGAAGAGGAGGAGGACGACTACACCCCCGAACCTATTTCTGTAGAAGTGCCCACCCTCAGCAGCCGCATCGAATCCTGGGTGTCAAAGACGCTGGAAAACCTGCAGCTGGGGAAGAGCCAGGAAAGTACGGAGGAGGATGAGGAGGAGGAGGAAGATGAAGAAGAGGAGAAAGCGCAGAGTGAAGAAGAGGACATCGATTCGGCGGACATCGCAGACGAGAGGACGGAGGACAAAGAGGCAGTGGAGGTTAAGAAAGTCAGCGGTTGATCTCCCCCCTCTGTTCATACTCTCATTTCCTCTGTCCCTCTCTCGTCCCTCTTCACAACAACCAGCAGCTTTTCCTCTCTCTCTCTCTCTCTCTCTCTCTCTCTCTCTCTCTCTCTCTCTAACCCCTGACACCAGACATAATCTCAGGTATCCAACCAACTGACCAACACTCACAAGCATTACACAGACACTGATCGACTCACCGCATCGCAGACCAAACAACAGCTAACACAGTCTGAGGGATAGTAGTTCAGCAACACTCCTCTCGTAGTTTAAAAGGATGCCCTCACTTCTTCGGCCCATAACCTGCTACACTTGAATCCAGAGGGAAGTTTTTCACTTTCCCCCTCCAAAGCTGAACTCTTTTTAGAGTCGGGGACGTTTCTAGGAGCAAGTGATGAGTGCTATCTGTGAGTGCTGTCTGAAGCTCACAGAGGAGGAAGGTTGGAACCTCTCAGCTCCCATCTTCATACAGAGCTCACACGGTTTACACCTCTTCAAGTATTTGTGTGCGCGTGTGTGTGTGTGTGTGTGTGTGTGTGTGTGTGTGTGTTTACAGGCACATAGTTAGCATTTATTTTCGCTATGTTGTTGAGCTTTATCTTTGTAAATAATGTGTGTGTTTTCCACCTGCTCCATGTGGGAAGGAGAGACATGCTTTTCTTTATTAATTTTTTGTGGGTGTTTTGCGTTGCTTACAGAATATGGAAGTGTCGGGGGGGTTTATGTCTTTCTACCTAAAACCACTCCCACCCATTAGTCTTCAGAGTGTTTTTTAATGTTCAAATAATAAGTGTACCATTCTGTATTCAGACAATTCAGATGATTAACTTCTAAGAAGCAAAACAAGCTTTGTGTATATAACTTTGTCTATGTGGTTCTACTACATTATATAATGGTTTGTCATATTGATCTTGCCGAGTGTGAAACTATTTGGGTTGTTTGCCTCTGACTGGAATCGTCTTGAGTTCCCAGATGCTGTCTGTGCTTCATAAAACAAAATGCCCCTGATGGGGTTTCTTCTCTGATGGGTGGGCGCTCTCAAGCTGTCTTTTAAAGACTGAACCACATCTTAGAAGCCCAAACTCCCAAAAGTCCTTTCATCCAGAGAGACATGTTGCAATTTAGACACTGAATTAAAAAAGTACAGGTTTGGACCTGACTGTGTAGTTTATGACATTATGAAAGAATCAGGGTACAGGACATTTGCTCAAATACATTTTCCAAGTATATTTTCTTTAGTAAATTCCACTTAAATCAAATTAACCTATAGGAAAAGCAGGGGTTTACTGGTATTCATCAAGGTTTAGAATCCCAAAATTGAACATTTGGATAGGGTTGCTTGCAAATGAATCTTTTTTTAGAGTTCTTCTAGATTTCAGAGACAGATTTGTCTTTATTTAAAGTCAGTTCCCCGAAGCTGAGAAAGCTCTGGCATCAGGCAGGCACCACCAGAAGTCAAACAAGTCCTCACAAAGTCATACAAATACTAATGATAAACCCTTGTAAATACAAGTGTACAAAAGATATTTTGATTTTTCCATTGTATTGAAAAATACAATCATCCTGTTCTTAAAGCCATTTGATAGTTTTAACTTTTAAACAGTTGGAATCCAGTTTGATAATGGCATTTGATAGTGAATCATGGTGAGATTTCAGCCAGCCAATGACGATGCGGTGTGTGTAAACGCAGTATGCCCCGCTGTATGCAATGTGAAGCCCTGAGATGGGATGTGACAGTATACTGAATATCATACTTGGGACTATGAAAGTATTTCTAGTTTGATTGCAGGTACCCTCTGTGTAGGCCTTTTGTTGCTATGACTTCCATCAAAGTGTTTGAAGTATGTTTAATTGACAGCAAGTGTGTTTCTTTGCACCATGTAAATACAGTACTGGTAAAGGTCTTGTAACTAATGTGAACAAAAAACAAAAAAACGGTTCAATGAAGTAATTTTTTCAGCGTGTTCCTCGTCTTTATATGGATATTTAAGACCGTCTCCTGCAGACTCATCACTAGCAACATTGTTATAGGCTGTTTCTCATAATCCTGTTATCACTCTTAACCTATAACTGATGATTAACATCATTAAAATGTTGTTTAAGTAAACCATTTAAATAATGCCTTGTGTTTTGTCCACTGTTGACTATTTAATGAGCATGACAGTTATATTAGTTCAGAGCTGTAAACAACTCGTGTTTCTTAATAGTTATTAGAAGCAGCATATAGTTTGAGTTTGGCGTCTAGGCTCGTGTCTCATCACTCCACAGTTTTACAAAGAACATTGAGTGATGATTAGATAACTATCCCCCGAGCCTACGGGTGGAAGCTGGGGTGGTGGTGGGGTAGGCAAGCAGCAGCAACATGAAACACAGCAGGAACATGAACGCAGCAATAGCAAGTGAACACAGCAGTGGCAGCAGCAGCAGAGCGAGGCAGAGGCAGGAAGACCTGGCAGCTTAAATAGAGCGGCATGTTTAGGAGAATGTGTTTGGTTGGTTGTAATAGGGACGAGGTGCGTCACGTGTTAATGTATGATTGGTGCTCGAGTTGACTGCCTGAACTAGCTCGCAGGCTTCGCCCCATTTGAGCTAATACAGAAAGAGACTCTGCAACTAGCTTGAAAACCGATACATCTTTTCAGTTTCTTTTCAAGCAAAAGTGCCAAATGTTCTGTGTTTCCAGGTGCTCAAATGGGAGAGGTAAGGCTTTTTCTTTGTTGTATGACGGTAAATAGTTTGCCACACATTCATGCCCACTCCTCCATACTTTTCCAATATTTTTTCGATTCAAATATAAAATCTCTTTTAAAATAATAATAATTCACGTAAACCTGGATTGCAATTTGCTAAACAACCACTAGGAAGGGACAAAACGCTGTTATACACTATTTTATGCACTCAGACATGAAACCTTGTCATTTTCATGTATCACATCCAGTTTATTCACAACAAGTATGCCGTTTTCAAGTTATCAAGAAAAATCTGCAAGTCATTAATACTTATTACGCTTATATTTAGTTAAATGAAATCTGTGATCTAAATAAGGAAGCGTTTTTCCACACTCACACTGTTGTTGTTGTTAGATATTCATCTTCTCTGCCGGCACCTGTCTTGCATATTGCTCTGAATAGAAACTGAAAATGCAAATAATTCTGTTAAATCTCCTTCCTCTTGTGATTCATGCAGGCCATTTGAATAATACTTGCACTAATCTTAATATATGGCATACTATAAATCAAGTCAATGTGATCTATTTCTACAAAAACGATTAATCCCTATGCTATTCTATTAAGAAAAACATTTCTAGGGAGATAGTGTTTTAATAACACACATAAACAGCATCACTGAAGTGCAAATGATGCTAGAAAAGAGTGTGTGTGTGTGTGTGTGTGTGTGTGTGTGTGTGTGTGTGTGTGTGTGTGTGTGTGTGTGTGTGTGTGTGTGTGTGTGTGTGTGTGTGTGTGTGTGTGTGGCATGAGTCACCCTACCCGCCTGTGATTGGATGGTAGTTTATGGGTGAGGGAGGGGCAAAGAGCCTTAGGGGCCGTCTGTCAATCTGTTCACCGCTCCATTCACATATTCATCTGCATGCACCGTCATAGAGAGAGACAGAGGAAGTGAGCGAGAGCCTCTCATTCATAAAAAAAGAGAAAAGTTCATTCATAAAAGCTGCACATTTCTACTGCTCCTCGGGAAGAAAAATACAGAGGGGAGGAAAGTTGATGTACAGGTGAAGCAGGGCTGGAAGTGTGGGTCATGATGATGGGACGGTACTCAGCATGACTATAGCAGAGCAGACTGGACTCTAGACTATACAGGACATCCCTAGTCTGGTGAGTTGAATCTTCCGTAACGTACAGTATTTATCCGAGGACAGAGAACCCCAGCAGCTAAAAACCTTTTTCAAACAAGAAAATCAATCTTTTACTTTTTGCTGCTTGTCAAATCTAAGTTATCAGGTCAATCCTATGTGTGTTATTCTACTGTAATGATTTTGTATCTAATTCTTGGCAGGATTTCTATTTGTCCTAGTGCTCTCCTTTTTCCAGTTTCCTGAGTATGAGAGAGCAAAGCTTACCCAGGTTCAAATCACAGAAAGAACTTTTACCAGGTAGCTCCTCACTTTTATCACTAAATGCATACAATGAGAATCACTGTGCTTCATACCTTATTGTCACACTTTCTTTTTCATCTTTTACAGGCATGCTGAAGCGCACCAAATACAGTCGTCTGCGGAACGATTCACTGACGTCTCTCGAGGACCGGCCCCAAAGAATGCTCCCCCAAAAGAGGGACATTTGCTTAGACTCTGACTTTGCCCAGCTGGATCCTGGGACGCCTACACACCACGGCCCGTCCACACTGAGGGACTTCATCCCCCGTGTGGCTAACATCCGATTGCAGAGTCCTATTTCCCTGCAGGGCCTGAGGGGACAGACAAACAGAGCCCGGGGCAGAACCGCTGATGACACACCCTTGTCCAGAGCAGAGTGGGGCTCAGGGCCTAACCAGAGATTTTGTTTTCAACATTCAGTCAATGTGCCCCTGTCGGATGGCCAGACTCGCTCTGCCCTCAGCTGCACAAAAAGACCAATCACGCTGCATCAGATGGACAGTCTCTCCTGGACCCCTGGCTGTCCTCCTTGCTCACATCACAGAGACGGTCTGTCCCATATGAAGACATCCTCTGCAGGAGAGGACTGTACAGCGGTGGGGACGGCAAACAGAGTGGTTCACCATCACATCAAGGTACTTATCAGATAATAACTATTAACAGTGCATGAATACACTCTGCTCTGGACTAACACAAATCTTATTGTGTAGAAGACTGCGAGAGTGTGTGGGATGTTACTCACCAGACTAATATGCATGTGACTTTAAAATGTGTTATATCTAAAATACAATATAATTTGTTTCAAACTTATCTTTACTGTGCATAAAGTGAAGCTAACCTCTTATCCAGGGTCTCACTGGATGGTTAAGGCAGGTACGCAGTTTAATTCCATATAGTGCTAACACAAACACATTCATGTGAGCACAGGACACACACACACACACACACACACACAAATAGACGCACTCTGTCTCCCTGTGCTCCATCCACACCATCACACTCACTTTCGTGCGTTCATCCCCTCCCTCTCAGAAAGAGCTTCCTGTGTTGGCAGTAGTGACTCATCCTGGCTCTCTGCTCCTCTCTGGATCTGCTTTGCTACTCTGTGTGTGTGTGTGTGTGTGTGTGTGTGTGTGTGTGTGTGTGTGTGTGTGTGTGTGTGTGTGTGTGTGTGTGTGTGTGTGTGTGTGTGTGTGTGTGTGTGTGTCCGGTATCAGCTGAGCCCAAGCTGTCCTAGAACCGGAGGTGTGTCCGCATGGGTGATTTGGAGCTGACCACTGATGGAAATGAGAATGGACTGTTTGATTGTCCTTTATAAACAAGCACACACACACATTACACACTCCCACTCACCCCAGCCACACATACACACACAAAAACGCACGCACGCACGCACACACACGCACGCACACACACACGTATTGATTTAAGTATGGTCTTCATCAGTGGATTTACTCATCCTGCCTCCAGCCTATGGCGTCTGCTCTTCTAGAGCTCATGGCCTATAGAAGTGGGCCTGGCTAAAGTGTATCCAAGCATGTGGCCTAAATGTTGCCTGGTTGTATAAACTAAATGTCAAGATGTCCCAAATGTACAACTTGTGAATTATTTTAGAAATCCCAGGGAAAAGGCCACTCTCATATCTACACACAGAATATACGCAGAATATATCTCTGTAGTCATGCTAGTGACGTCACATGATGGTAGTCTGTCCACCACTTTGGCCCAGAATGAAATATCTCAGAAATATATAAGAAAGATATACAAACAGTAGTGGTCCTCCTAGGATGAGGTCACTGATCCCTCTATTTATTTAGCACCACAAAGGTAACTGTTATGTATTGAAAGATGTTGGATGTATTTGCTGCAGATTAATTGTTCTGAGTCCGGATTCTAAACATTTGTCCTCTATAACAACTAGCATCTCAAAGGTTTCCTTATCCTGTCTTTGGTTGATTTCTGATAAATCATAATACCTTGTCATTTTGTGCCATCATAAGGTTGTATGTTAAAGTTCTCCTCAACTATTGGACGGTTTAGCATGAAATGGTTTGACATGTATGTCCCCCTCAGGGGAGATGGTAACTACTTTGGTGACCCCCTTATTTTGTATTGAGCGGCTTTATTAATTTGTCCAATACTTTGATTTATGACCAAATCACAAAAAAACGAAATTCAGTCTCTGCTGTAGTTGTATTTTATTATTGTATTTGTTCTAATGGACAAATGTTAGAATGCTAACGTGATAAATTAGACAGTGAACGTTAAATCATCTAAACATCACTATGTTACCATCGCTCCTGCGAGCGTATGAGCATGCTGATCTTAACACTAAAGTCCTGTATGCTTGTTTTTAGTTTTATTTGATTAATTTATTATGCATTTAAAAAAGAGAAAACAAATGCATGACATGCCGTACTTACTTTAGTGAGATTGTTTCTATTCCTTAGTTGAAAGTGCAGCCAAAGTGATCCTTAAACCTTTGATCAAAGACTGAAAGTGTATCAGTTAATCAGTTAATCAATTTGGATTGTTGAGGTTATCAGGAAGTTCATAAAAAACAAACATGTGCACTGGTTGGGTTATAGTTATAGCCCAGAATCAAGTGCAGCACCCTATCCATCACAGCAGCTCTAGGATCATAAAGTAGGACCGGAGAGTAGAGTTTGAATGGCAGACAACAGCCTGTCCCACTTCTTCATCTTTACATGTTTTAATGATACTTAAATTGAGGTGGAACAGGACGGAAGCATTGTCCAAATGAGATGTATTTATTGCTGTCACTACGTGTTTTATTTTACATTGCAATCATTGAGTAACTTTGTGTGTTCGCTTGTGTTTTCCAGTACATGGGCAATGTGGAGGTGACCCAGTCCATGAGAACCCTCGACTTTGATACGAGAATGAAAGTCACACGGTAGGAGGTTCTTCCACTACCAAACACACACACACACACACACACACACACACACACACACACACACACACACACACACACACACACACACACACACTGCAATCAACACAGGCAGAACTATAATAACAGATTTCTTTCATCATCAGCCTGTCTGCAAGGGACTGTCTGCTCTTCTGGGTCAGATCAACCTGCAGTTTTCAGGTAGCAGGATCATCCTCACTGTGTCCACAGACAGTGTGACCCTAATTGATGCCTCCTCCTTACAGGTGACTGCTTCAACAAACAAAATGTAAACTTTCACATTCTCTTTTTATTAAGACATAGATTATTAAAATAATAATAATTTTGCCCTGTTTTTTCTCTCTCTTCTCTTTCTTCGAAGATTGCCCACCACCCCATGCAGGCCATTTCATTCGCCTCAGGAGGAGATCCGGTACGGTCCATTTTTCTAATCTTGCACATGTACAAACTTGTTTATGAGCAAAAAAGGAAACAAACACCCATACTGTACACACACAGTAAATAATTAGATTTGGCTTGATTACCGCTTGGTTTGCTGCCATTTGTGGTGGATTGAATTATTTCCCATCCCCAAGTCTTGAATCTTTTAATCAACTTTTAATTGGTGGTACAAAGCAAGTATTTATCAAGACCCTGGAACTGAAATGTTTGACACAAACTTCAGAATAAAAGTTTTTTATCAAATCCTTACGACTTTAGGATAACCTTAAAGTTTAGAGAGCCTGAAAGGTGTATTAGGAGTACATACTATATGATTGCAATATAAAAACAGGTGTGAGTACATAGTTTTTAAGGCTTGTATTGAAATTATTTTTGCACAAATATAATTGGTCATGATGACTGTGCAACAGAATGTGAAACAGCTTTAGCCTTTCATTTGAATTTGATTCAAACAATTGATACACAAATAAATGTAAAAGCTTGTATTGATTTGTTTGCAATCTTTCCATGCAACTTCATTGTTTGAACTTGTCAATGTATTACTAAACTTCCCTTATAATACATTTTCTGTGATGTGGCTCCTCTATAGTGTAGAAGTTTCCCCCATGTTTCATTATGGTTTCATTGTGCTTTGCCTTACAGACATTTTATTGTATATTATAAATAGATTACATTCAATTGACAGAATATCACAGGATGAAATGTAATATTGTTAGGGTACATTTCCATTTCTGATTGGATAATAATAATGCTTAGGATTTGGCCTAACTACGCTAACATACTAACATATCAAGAAAGCTCTTCTTAATGCATTTATCAAAACTGGTATGCACTTTCACCATCTTTAAACCTCACCATATCTTTTTTCAAACTAATTTCTCTATCTATTTTCCTTCTCTTTCCCTCCATGCCCAAATGATTTCCATAATACAGAATTAAGGTTATTCCTCCTGAGTGAAAAAAAAATCAATGCAGCAGTGTTGATGTCTGAACAGCCAGCAGGACATGTCAGTTGTTAATGAAGTCTGGGTCAAACCCTGCTTGATAAACTGCTTGACTGACAAAAAACCGTTATTTGTGATTTGGTTCGTGTCCATAAACGAAGCTTTTCATTTTTAAACAAACAGTGAATTAAAAAGTTGGGTACACACTGTACTATTTCATTGCAATTTGCATACTGCGACGTTGCGCTGGGCAATGTTTTTCAGGGAATAGGAAATGCAGTTTCTCTCTCGGAAACACAAGACCAGCAAGGCTACGGAAAGGATTATAGTTCGTAGTTTAATTAATTAGCTAAAATAATCTTGTAGTGTGCTCTAAGCCTCGGCTCCATTGGCTAGGACACATAGAAGATATGAGGGTGAATTAAAATCTATCTACCACAGAGGCTTTATGGTGAAACATATTCAGCTAACTCTGCTCTTGTATTAGTATCAGAGAACCACTGATGGGGAGTGATTTAATTAAGCAGGGAAAACATAGACATGACCATTAACTGAATAAGTCTGCTGTTTTCCAATGATTATATAAAGAAGGAATCATGAATCCAAGGGCTGATTACTGATCCAGGTGTAAAGGTTAAACCGTACCACATAATAAGACTGTCAGGGGGTTTATGAGTGACCTTGTGCACATACTGAAAAATACAGCAAATACCTTTCAAGTGAGTTATGTAATTTATGAACCACATTCTTACTGTTACAAATGGAAAGTTCAATTAATGTGCAATACAAGGAATCCTTACTTAATTCAATGCACTCAGGGGCTGCTGCAGCTTAATTTGTTCTGAACCGTATAGTGACTATAATGTTAGCTAATGTTAGCAAACTTTAAACAGACACTGCTGTGGAATTATTTCATTAGAGTTTGACTTTATTATTATTTGATCTACTTGTGCTATGTTAAAATGTATGTATTCATTATGTTTATTTTATCGTCTCATGGTTGTCATTTGCGGCCACTGTTTGGCAAACGTCACATAGCCTTGCTTTATGTATCACTTATATTTTTCTCTCTTTTTTTTATGATAGGACATGGCAGATTACATTGCTTATGTGGCCAAAGACCTTGTCAATAAGAGAGGTAAGAGATGGTTTATTTTTCTATAATGATGAGCTTAGCTTCCATTTGACTCTCTGGCTTCTCTGAACTTCTAACATCTCTCCCCCCCCCCCCCC